AAAAAAAAGAACTAGAAACACAGGGAATCCAGGACACATAAACCCTTCAGGACCAATAATAAGCATAGCGATACCTGAAGGGGAAGGGGAAGGTGGATTACAAAGGAGGAACTGATCACAAGGGTCTACATATAACCCCTCCCCCTGGGGGATGGACAATAGAAAAGTGGGTGAAGGGAGACATTGGTCAATGTAAGACATGAAAAGATAATAATAATTTATAAATTATCAAGGTTTCACGAGGGAGGGTGGGAGGGTGAGTGAAGGAGGGGAAAAATGAGGAGCTGATACCAAGTAGAAAGAAAATGTCTTGAGAAGGATGAGGGCAACAAATGTACACATGTGCTTGACACAATGGATGGATTGTGATGAGCTGTACGAGCCCCCAATACAAAGCTTTTTAAAAAAAGAAAGGAAGAAAATATGGATGCATAGCATCCAAAGGGCTGAAGGCTATGAGGGCAACAGCTGGTTGCCCAAAGGAATTCTGCAAGACCAAAGCGTCCAGTTACCAGCCTGTTGGCCTCTGCCCTACAGACTGGACTCACCAACCCCTTGGAATCATGGAGTAAGTCTTTACAATAAATCTCTGTGTATATTTGAGGGAAGGTAAAAGAATTGTTCAGGAGGTAAATGGTAAATGAAAGTTGTCCCCCACACTTTCAAATTGTGAATTAGGGGTTGGATTGGAGACCCAAAGCCCAACTGTAGACAACTGGATATCTTACAACCACCCCTCCGCCTTCCAGAAGGGTTACATGGAAGGGATGATTCAACCAACGTGAAGTAAAGCACCACTGGAACACACATCATTCCTCTAGTTCCTGAATGCTTCCTCCCACCCACTATCATGACCCAGTTCTACCTTACAAATCTGGCTAGACCAGAGAACATACATTGGCTTGTGACACATGGAATTCAGGAGACAAACCCCTCAGGAACAGTAATGGGAGTAGCAATATCATGAGGTAGGGGGATGGTCAGGGAAAGGAAAGAAAAGAGGAACCCATCACAAGGCTGGATATATACCCTCCCCCCCCATAAACGACCAAAACACATGGGTGAAGGGAGACAATGGACAGTGTTAGATACGAAATAATAGCACTGTATTGATCAATTGATCAAGGATTCATGAGGGTGGGATGGTGGAGGAGGGAGGGGGAAAAAGAGCTTATACCAAGGGGTCAAGTAGAAACTGTTTTGGAAATTATGTCAACATATGTACAAATATGCTTGATACAATCGATGTATGGAATGTTATGAGCTATAAGAACTCCCGATAAAATTTTAAATAAAAAATTTTAAAAGTGAGCTTCCTGTTGCTGATAATGCTGATCTGTTAGAACTTCAAAGTCTTAGAAAGAAGCATGAGTTTTTCTGCAGGCCCGCATTTACTGTGATCATTGTAAATGGCTACCTTGCTTCCTGCCAGGTGTCTTATTTATCTCCCAGACACATAAGACATTCGCAGGGGCAGGTAATAGAGGAAGGGAGGGAAATGAGTGAAAAACAGAGGCGAGTCACAGGTCTCCGTTCTCTCCTGAAAAGTCATGATCCAAGACTAAACCCCGGATTCTATTCGTTGTTACCCTCCCACAGTAGGCTTTTAATAGCTACTCTGGTAATGTCAGGTAGTCAGACAGGGCAGAGGTTGTTCCTCCCATGCCTGCGCAAGGCCCCCTACAGGAGCTTCAGAAGGAATCAGGAGGACCCTTTAACTGGGCATGCGCCAACTCAAACCCGCCCCACCCCCAGGTGGGCTTGATTCATCCAATGGGGTCAACCAATACCTTCGACCGCACCTCCCCAGCCAGAGGTCTAAAATACCTTGGCAGTGGGAAGGCCTGCCCTTTGGCCCTTGTGACCCTGCACCTGCAGGGGTCTCTCCGGTCTCAGGTCACCACGGGTGGGTGAACCCTCCTATGAGGTTGCTCATGTTCAGTGGTGAGCCCCAGCTCCGTTTTCGCGCAGTTTGGCTCACTTCCCCCCAAAAAGCATGTACTCTTTTTGAGACTGTAAAATCTGAAACTTTTCCCGTCCTTTCGAAAAACCCACTTGGATCACAAACCAGGCTTCGGCGTGAATCCTTTCTCGTGCACAGGAGAAACCTAAAAGCAATCACCACCAAGCGTTATGACATGAAAATGAACTCAAACTTAGTTACAGATAACCTCACACAACTTAACCCACTGCACTGGAAATTCAGAACATTCTATTACCCTCATCACACTCCTCCATCCCTCAGTAAAATAGGAGGAACTGTGAAGCGCACTTGATGGTGACCTCAATAATCTCTAGCAATTCTAAATACTGGCTAAGTTAATTAGTAGGCCAATTATCTGAATTTTAGGTTTTCTAAAATTCCTCCCCTCAATCAGTTCTAATACAGTGCAAGGGAACATGTAGGCGGCTAATATCAAGCTTGAAGATCTCTTTGGACAAATAGAAAAAAGCCGATTTGTAAATAAAGTAGAGGTAACAATATTCACACTTAAAATGTTCTTCCTCCCCATGCAATGATTTGGTGTAAGCATATCCCAGAAGTTAATTCCTCCTGGTGTTGGAGAGACCATTGAAGAATCCACCATGCTGGCTTCATCATCCCAGGGTTATTATTAAAGGCCATTAGATCAGGAGAGAGGCCATCTTGGTAACTAGGGCCCAGCAAGCAGAACAGCCAAGCAATGACTTTGCTAAGGAATAAGCAAAAAAGACACACTTTTCACACACACAGGGACCAGGAGTGGAGCTAGAAATTACAACACGAAAGAGACACGCTTCTGACCCCACACAGAAACACCTGCATAATACAAAGAAAGTGCTGAACACTAGCTCCCTTCGGTGGGGGAGGTGTGTGTGTGTGCCACCATGGTTACATTTCAGTGAGGGTTAATACCAAACACTGACCTTGGACCCTGTCAAACATAATAAAGGAAGTACAGAAATCACATTTTGGGAAGAGATGGCTGCGTGAAAAGCTGCTATGAAAAAATGAAAACAGGACCAATATAAGCATATTTTCTTTTATATACAAAAATGAAGGCCCAGAAAATGGTTTGTTGAAGTACCTACAGACAGGATGTCAACTTATTTTTCCCTTGCTTTGGTTAAAACAGCCTAGGAACATCGATCAGTTCCCCTTCAACTACCAGCGTATAAACACAGTGACAGGACTACTTTTAGTACACAACAACTTTTGAAATAACAATTAAATTAAACTAAATTAAACATCTGACCAATAAATAAATTCTTTAAAAGGCAGCATCTTCATCCTAAAACCTTGGGCATAACATCAATGCCAATTAAAAAAACAAAGCAAAATTTCTCCCACAATAGTAATTACAGGTGTAAATGCAACAAGCTATGAAATGAAGTTACTTTAATGTATCTTTGAAAAAAATCTAGCAACAAAAAAAATGAATTAAAAGTTGGTATTTTCCTAAAATTGTACATATTCTAAAAAACAGATTAGTATTTTATTATAGAACATAATTCAACCTATTATTGGCATTTCAATATATTCCTAAAGAAACAGTTAAAAGGAACATTTAGTACACCAAAACTGTAACAGAATTTTCACTCAAATTTGTGGCTAGGAAAAGCCAATCAACTTCTATTTAAAACTGTCACCTGTGATGAAATATAATTCAAAAACATAGGCATTTGGTCTGACAATCTTTAACATTGGTTAAAACACTCTGATGTTCACTGGTGATGGAAGTTACTTTAATCCAATGTGCAAAACGAGTGCAGCCATCTACTTTTACTTGAAATACATAAAACCTACAGTTCTACCTTATTTACACACTTAAGAGTCTACCTTTATTCATCAAGCATATTGCATCACTTTTAGGGATCTTACAGGTGCTGCCGAGAGCCGCAGGTTCGAAGGCTTTCTGGTAACTTATTCAAATGTGTTTGAAGAAGCATACCTGTGCTTGTTCTAGTTCTGATTGAAAATAAAAACCAAATCTCAAAAGCAATGAGCAATTACTTTGATCTATTAGATCTTGGGATTGCTCAAAATGTGGCAAGCCTTGCCCAGGCTCTAATTTACCCCCTACTATTCTCACTGGTGGCCCCGCTTTTGGCCAAAGAGCAGTGACCAAAAGATGGGGAACATTAAGAACTCAGCCGAAGGCCTCCATATCTAGGGGTTTGTTCAGCCTCTGGTACAACTTTCAGAGCAGGTATGGGACAATCCAAATGGAGAAATACCTCAGCAAAGCAACCATTATTTGTCCACACACACACACAAAGTGAAAACATGGATAAAAAATGAGCAAATCAAATATAAATGTAACACCAGTCTCTATTTTCTATATTTGCGCAGCGTTCGTGGTGCCAACTAACCACCGGGATTTTCTGCAGCTGTGTGGAGCACTTTTGTTATTAAAACTGCTGTTTTGACCGTAAGTCACATGTCGGTGTGATGAGCAAGAAATCAAGTTACTCAATCATGATTCTGTACGGTGCACTCACGGTGCAGCGTGAGTGGTTTAAAAAATGGACCAGAAGTTTCTCACTTCTAAACTAGACACCAGAGTTCTCAAATTAAAACCATTAAAAAAGGGGGTCGGGGTAGGAGGGCTAGAAAGAACTTGCTGGCAATGTTAATACTAGACCCCAGGCAGGGCAGTGGTTTGTTCAGAACCTAGGAAAAGTTTTAAAAATCCCTAACCCAGTACTGCCTTGAGCCCAGGAGGGTCCAGTGCCACGGCAATTTCTCTCCCACCCCCACGGGCATTTAGTGATTAGGATCCCAGTCCTCGTGATCTCCGCCTCCCGGGCAAAGAGCTCTGGTCCGTGACCTCTAGCTACAGGCGATCGTTTCCAGCTGCTGCTCCGCCTCGGCTGCCATGGCCGCTGCCTGCAGCTGCTCGGTTTCGCTCTGGATGGCACTGGGGGTCACCTGCTTCCGTTCGCTGTGCATATTGTTCTCGTGCCTTTTCAGATCGGAGGCCTTGGCAAAGGCCTTGGTGCAGGAGCCACAGACAAAAGGCTTTTCCCCTCTGTGTCTCCGTTCATGATCCTTGAGGTGGGACTTGTGTTTGAAGGCCTTGTCGCACATGTGGCAGGCGAAGGGTCTCTCGTTACTGTGGACCCGCTCGTGCTTCTTGAGGTCCGGGGCACGAATGAACGACTTCCCACACACCTCACAACTGTAAGGCTTGTAGCCCGTGTGGATTTTCAGGTGTTCTTTCAGGTGGGCCTGCGTGGTGAACCCTTTCGTGCACATTTCGCACACGAACGGCCGGTCGGCGGTGTGCAGTTTCTCGTGCTTCCGCAGCCGGCCTTCGTCGGAAAACGTCTTGCCGCAGGCTTGGCAGGCAATCTGCTCCCGGTGGTGCCCGTAGAGCAAATACTCAAACTTCATGTCGCTGGCGGCGGTCGTCCAGCCTGGGGTCTGTTCATCTTTCACTTCACTCATCCCATCATTAAAGGCTAAGGCCTGAGGGGTTTGGGAGCCCAGATCTTTCGACTCCGGGGTCTCCATGGATTCTACTTCTTGGCCATAGCAATTAACTTTGCGGACTTCCTCACTTCCCAGCTCTTTCAAAATCGCCTCCTGCACCCTGAGCGTCGTCGTGGGGGACTTGCCGTCCTCCTGGCTCGGGGGGGTGCCTTCCACCGTGCCCTCAGAAGGACTGTCGTCCTGGTCTCCGATTTCCTCCACATCGTCATCCTGCGGGTCGGCGGCATCGCCCAGGGGCCGGTTGATCTTCAGGCAGTACTTGCTCTTGGACTGGCCGTTGCTTTCCTCCGGACTGGAGACGTCCCGCTTTTGGGAACAGAGTTTATCCAAGAAGCGGATACCCAGGATCTGACCCGACGACATCATTAAGTTGACGTCTTCTTTTTTGACGGAAATCTTGGCTGTGTACATGTAGTTCAGGACCTCTTCAAATATATCTGAGCGAAGAAAATCGATTTCTATTACCGAAGAGCTATCGACCTCAAGTTTCTTGAAGAGCTTTTTAAAGTAGGTGCTGCAAGCGGCCAGGACACATCTGTGTGCTCGGAATTTCACATCTTCCACCACGATGGCAATATCACAAAATTCTCCTTCCAAACGTTGCTCGTTGAGTGTTTTCAGAAACAGAGTTTTATGATCATCGTCATTATATTTAATGGTTTCAGACATACTGATGAAAAACTCCTGCAAAGAAATGTGAAAAAGGAAGTTGGGTAAGTATACACGATAATTTTCCATATAGAAAACATAGCTAGATTAATTTAATATCTGACACAGTCCTGGTACCGAAAGACCTCAGGAAGTCAATGTTAAGAAATATGCCTGAGTACAAAAGCCTAGCCCCACCTTATGGACTTCCATATTTACTTCCGTTTACTTTCAGTTCACTAAGCATCGCACAGTAGTAGTTGCAGCAGTTGTAGTAGTGGAGTCTCAGGGCGGTGCAAATGGTTAATGCACTTGACTGCTAATCAAAATGCGGATGAAGTTTAAATCTACCCAGAAGTGCCTGGAAGAAAAACCTGGCAATTTGCTCCCCAAATATCAGCCACTAAAAGCCATACAGAGCAAAGCTCTATGGGCACTTACTGGGTTGTCATGAGTCCCACTCCATTCGATGGACACAACTTAATAAGGGGTGTGATGTACTATTAGCGCTACTTCAAGGATGAGGTCAGGAAATTACGCAGTGTTCAAGTAGGTCGAGGAGCTGGGTTTCTAATCCAAGCAATTCTGTTTCCTAACTACAGGAAATAATGACAAATAGCTCAACTTAAAAGTTTAAGAAACAAGGCAAGGGTTCTCTGGTCCTATCTGTTGTGTCTGGATGACAATTAAGGAAAATATCAATACTGCTCAGAACTATGCATCCTGACTGCTGTTGGATGCCAGAGCCTGCAGCACAAAAGAAAACCATGCTGAAGTAAATTCAAATAACTCTTTGCACATTGTGCTACTTCCACGAGCAGATGAGGCTCCAGCAACTGAGATCCACGGTTTTTCACTGGCTGCTTTTCTGAAGCAGATCATCAAGCGTTTCTTTCAAGTCCGGCTGAGTCTGGAAGCTCTCCTATAACTTGTTCACATTATAGCAACATGCAAGCCTCCACTGATCAGCCAGTGCTGACTGTGCCTGAGGTGCACTGGTCTCCTGCATGGAAGGGGGGATGGATTTCTCCCACTAAACACTGAGCAGAGATACAGATCATTGAGGCTACACCAGAAAAGGACATCGAGGCCAAAGGTCCATTAACAATTGTCTTCTAGTTTTCCCAGACCAGTCTTTGGCTACTTTTGGATGAGGGTATTTTATATGACCCTTGGAGAATTAGATGGCATTTGGGAAGACAGTGCAGGGCGGGCGTCCTTCTCCCTGATCAAAGGGCCACCAAGAACAGATGCACTTGGCCAGAGCCACAAGTATTCAGGTATCCTATAAGCAAAAGAGATTTATGACTGGCATAGAGGACGTGTTGCCATATTTAAGATATTATCTTTTAAAAATAATGTGATCTATACGGTTTCTATGGGAAAATGTTGCTTTCCTCTCATTCATCCAAGAATAAATGTGAGAATTCAACAAAGTATAAACATGGGGGAAATAAGTACCATCCCTAAAGAAGGAGAAATGCTAATGTGCAATCAAAACGTAAAGAGATATATTTAAAACAAACACCGAGTCATCATCTCAAGATTTAATATCCAAAGTTACAATTACCATGAACAACTGAAGGCTATTCTCTCAACGCTTTAAACACCAAATTCTTCAGAATACTTCTGACTAGTCACAAGCCAGATCTGCAAGAGAAAAGAGCAGACACAAGTGAGGGAGGTTCTTCCTCTATTCCAAATCCCAACCAAGAATGGTTTCAAGCTTTTAAAAAATTAACTCTCCTTTGTGGTCTTGCCACTTGCACATAGGAGGTGAGCACACAGGAGGGTAGCTGGGAGTGTCAGGCCCAGCTTTGAGCAAGTGTGAGCCGCCTGGGTAAGGATTGTAACGTGGGGCAGATTGATAAGCGGGACAGCAGAAGAATCACTAATGTCTCCTCCTAAGTCCACGTCAATATTTGCTCAGATGTTGACAGCCATAAAGATTAAGGGAAGGCCAATAAACACTCCTCACCTCCAGCATTTCCTGCTCTCCAGCCCCTAGGTGGTGCAAATGGTTAACACCTAAAAGGCTGAAAGTTTAAATTCAGAGGTACCTCAGAAGAAAACGACAAGTTTCTCCTCCTGGCAATACTCAACCATCAAAAACTCCATGAAACACAGTTGTCTTCTGACACACATTGGGTTACATGAGCAGGAACCAAGTGGCTTTTATGCAGCCTTCACATTTTGTATTGTTGTTCGGTGTTGTCGAGTCAGTTGGGACCCTATGAAATACTCCGTGGTCCTGCATCATATGCAGAATCGTTATTGCAGCGACCATGTCAATCCATCTCCTTGATGGTCTTTTTTGCTGATCACCTACTTTAGCAAGCAAGATGTCCTTGTCTAAGGCCCCATCTGTCCTAATCATGTGCAAAGTATGTGAAAGGAAGTATCTCACTTCCAAGGAGCATTCGGGTCATAATTCTTCCATGAGAGACATGTTTGTTCTTCCGCAGCCCACAATACTTCCAATTTTCTCTGCCAACACCATTATTCAAATGCATCGGTTCTCCTGGGTTTCTCCTAGTCATGGGAGTATATTTTTATAAACACAGAGAAGTTGTGTTTATAACTGTTTACACATAGCCAACAGTTAACATGGGAGGGAAGAGAACAGCGCCTTCCTTGCCACCCACTGTGTGTGATGTAACACACATCGGTTAAACCACACTGGTCTTTCAAACTACATTTGAGAGATCCTATTATTTTTACTTTAATCCCTGCAGGGAGGAGCGAAAAGTTTTTAGGTTGTGAGTTTAGTTAAAATAGCATTCTGTATTCTAATATCTGTATACTAATGTCTGAAAAACATTGAAAACTTCCTCTGCAGTGGCCACAAATGCATTGTTTGGTGTAGTTAAGAGCAAGTGACCAGGCTGTTATCGTCTTAATTTAAAAATTGCCATGCAAGACAGACACCTGGAAAATCATTTCAAAGTTCCCTCTTCAGAAAAATGAATTTGTTGAATGAAAATGAACTTGGCAAAATTACTTCTAAGGTTGTCTCCAACTCCAGCATCCTGTTTGTCCCTGCCTCCCTGGCCCCTGGAGGCAGCCTGGGTTATAATCGCCTCTACAGGGAAAGGGACCCAGGGAAAATTGTCTTCAGTGCCTAACTTTCCCTAGGTCTTGTGGGCTTGCAAGTGCTTGGGATGAGGAAGCACAGTGGGTTTATGGTAGCCATGGCAACACATTCGCGTGCTTAACATAATTTGGGGTGGGACTAGCTTTGCCATCCTACGCCCTCAATATGTCTGAGGACCTGCAGGGAAGATCGCACCATTTGTCTTATTAGTTGGATGTTCCGTTTGTTAAGTTCAGGTAAGTGTGTGCAGAAGTAAGAAGAGGTCGTACCTACTGCACAACGAGGATCAAATTAGTCTTTCCTAACGCTTCTGCAAAGCGCTGACACCCACTCCAACTACAGAGCAGGGGTGAGGAGTGGGTGCGGGTCCCTACAAGAGCCGAACTTCCAAAAACGGCAGCGGGCGCTTTCCCCACCCCTGCAGCCCGCGGCCATGGCCGCCGCCCGACTTCCCGGTTAAAAACTTTCAGCTTCGAGAGGGGAAGGCGGAATGGACGCAATGCACAAGCGAGGGCGCATTGGAGACTCGCGGCCCTCGGGGGGCGGGCGCGGGCAGGCCATTTGGATTCTTCCCGAAACAAAAGCTCCCGGCGCTCCGCTCGGACAGTGGCAAGAGGCCGCGGTCCCTTCCAGGTGCAGCTGGAGGCTGGGACCATGGGACCGCGGCGCGGGGCAGCGGAGCTGGGGTAGGCCGGACCCGAACCGGGAGCCACACAGCGCCCGGGAGCCGAGCC